TAACAAAAAATTTAATTAAACCTTCGCACATAAAACGCGCCATAAACAAAACAGAAAATAATAAAAGGAACGTAAAGCATTGAGGGTGGGTTAAAAATAGATTCCATAGATTCCATAGGGGCAAAATGAAAAGTGATCAACTCACAAAGAAAATAAAAATGTTTGAAATATGGTTTGATGGATTAAGTGAAAAATAAATAGATATTTAGCTCTGTAAATATATGAATACGAATTAATTGTTATTAGGCAACATGCTCTTAGGAAGGCCAAAAAGTATGAAATGCTTCATGCAGGATTCTACATACGCATTTGACATCACAAATTAAGAAAAAGCCCCAAAACGGACGGAGTTGCGCATAGACTCCACAAAAGACGAATATAGCGACAGGCTAGGGAGCTAAAATCTTCGTGTAAACCAACGGATAATGATAACGCGATGAATGAAGTGGACCTTTGACAGTCTGTCGACGGAACGAGGAGAATGGCAGTCAAGAATTTGTGCAATTTCTCCAAACATGACGTCAAGGCAAGCATGGACCCAAAGTTGGTCCATGCAAGATTAAATGAAAATAAAGCAATTTACTCTAAACTGTAAATATTTATGAATTAGACCCTTGGCTAAACCAGAATGGATAGCAAAGTTTTCCACAATCAAGCGAGTAGACCTCATGGTACCAGTTAATTTTGCCCAGACCTTCCATACAAAAGCCTTTCCAAGTCTTACATATGACGAAAAGGTCGGTTTCGAAGAGTACCCCAATAATGTAGTGTCACTAGAATGTTGACAATATAGCAAATATTGGTTGAATTGGTCTACTTCCACCGCCATCACTCGCATGTGGGATTCTAATGAGAGCAAAATATTTGCTTAAAAAGCAAATTTCGAGTCATGCATTCTCGTCGCGACTCGTCCAGACCTGACATTCCACCTCGTCTCACCGTCTCAACGGCATCCTTACGTCAGTTCAACACCGACACACGTGCACTTCGCAACCCAAACATGAACAGAGACGACTTTCTGTGCGAGTTAGGCCTTCAGAAAGCGTTGGAGGAAAACATGTATTTGCGATAAATAGGCGCTCCAGCCAGTCTGGGTGGCATAAGATGAAACAGGAGAAATAATTACATTTTCCCAAAATCCGACGAAGATGGCGTTTTGGAATAATGCAACTATCATTAGTCCATCAGCTCAAGCAACCCAGGCCGACTGGAATTCCTATTACAGACTCACTGATTATTTGGAAAGCGACTTTAAGTGCTGATTTAAGTGAGGATTTGAGCTAAGAAATCCTTGGCGCTGCCTTTTTCGACTTGGACGAATCCCAGATCAGCTTTCATCTGCCGCCCAAAAGACATAATCAGAGCCTGGAGCCAAACCTTACCTCGTATTCATGCGTTTATCACTACTTTTAGTCCAAGTTAGTTAGTTTCGAGACTATCAGTTAGCATAAGTGGGTAGAGGAAGGATAGCTAGACTTTTCCAAAATAAGCCTCACTATGCTCAAAAGTTATTCTCATTCAGGCTCAACGGCAGTCTCGATCTCGTCAAGGTCTCTTCAGCACCGCCAACCGGTGATAATGAGTGAAAAAAAGATGTGAATTTTAAGGCAAGCCAGGCCTATTTCATATTGCATTTTTATGCATATCATGTCGATGAAGAAAAGATATAGTTATTTCTTGTCTATAAGAAGGCTTTCGAGACTACCGGTAAAAAGCATATAATGAGATGCCTGATTATTATGTATCGAAACCCTTTTGACAAACGAATAATTGGTAGATACGATGACCAAGATGTTGTGACTTCTATTTTGCTCGCAGTCTCGTTTCGATGTATGATAAGTCCATAGTATACATGATACTTTCCATACTCGGATCATGGGCTTGGTACTTCAGTAAGTTGATCGATTGCCATAGCAACTACAGCTTTGCTTTGTTGACAATCTCACCACAGAAGGTGATAAAGTAAAATGCCTGGACTTTATTGAAATTCATATTCGCCCTGTCATCCAAAAGCAGTTGTGGCGATGCGGTGTAGTGGGTAACGAGTCGAGGTTATATGCTGGACTACAAAAACCCGAGTTCGAGTCCCGCTGGAAGGCTAACTGGATCAGTTCGGGCGAGTCCAAAGCGGCAATTTAGTCCAGCCTGGATGAGAATACGTGTTGGGAAAGCAAGGCTATGCTAAATTCAATGGAAATGTAAGGTCTTCTGACATGATTGCAGGAAAATGAAAATATCAGTTCATCATCATTCATCACCTTAAACGAAATAGCGTGAATTCATCTAATATAAACAAGTATTTGCATAAATAGATCTTAAATAATAATTGTATATGACATGAGTAAGCCTCATGATGCCAGAACGTATTTCCATTCACTGTTGCACTAGCCGAGTTCGAGTCCTGTTGGTGATGTTGATCCGACCTGGATGAGTTCGAAACTCTTTACTATCCTTGATTTAATTACGCCTACCATAACACTATGAGTATGCTTTGAGAAGAAACTAAGAAGGAAACCGGCAACTGTGGATTTCTTAGACTGTTCGTAGCCTTCTTTAATAACTAGGATGTCTAAAAGCGATAGCTTACTCTCCTTTTCTAGCTTCTTTGTGAATTTATTCGCCTTATCTACTTAATTCATTAACCCAAGGAAGTCTTCTAAACACTATTTGTCATGCTGCCAGACGGCAAAGTAATCGTCCATCCTGCAAGCGTTCAAGAAAGATGAGCGTCAAGACAATGCATAAAAAAACCAAAACGCTTTCCTCGATTTTGTCTTCTTTAAGCGAATCTCCCGAAGCCCTCTGCAGATCAGGTTGTCATAAGGTTTTGTGTTCATGCGGCAGTGTCGATGTGGGGGAGA